CCTATGTCTCCTTATGTTTTTCGCTTTGTCTTCTTTTTTTGTTTGTTTGTTTGTTTGTTTGTCTATTATTAAGTATGTCTTTCTATATGCATTAATAACTAATAAATAGAGAAAGTGGTATAGACACAAGTAAAAATATCATGCTCGAGTTCTACATATTCAAGCAACAAACACTGGACTATCTCGGCTATTCCTGACGTTCACTGAGAGATTTTACAATATGCAGCAGAATGTCGCATCTGATAAAAAGACGTAACGTGTGATAGTCACGTCCATTTTTCTCTTTGCAGAAATCGGAAGACAGTAAGCAAAAAAAAAAAAAAAAAAAAAAAAAAAAAAAAAATGGATAGATAAATAAACACTTGGCAAAAAAAGGTAATAAGTAAAATTTTCAAAAACAACTTCGGAAAAAGAAGATTCAGACACAGCAGTCAACCACGATAATGGTAAGTTTATATAAGATAAAAGACATTATTTAATAATGGAAATCTTTAAAAGCCATTGTCAAAAGTTTGGACGCGTACGCTTATTTTTCTTCAGAAAGCCAAAGAAATCTGGAAAATTATGGAATTCCTTGATAAGTTTATTAAAAAAAGAAATGTTGCATTATCAGAGTTTCACAGCATCGCATAATACCCAAAGAATTAATACTCACTTTTAGCCTCAGTGTGATGGTTCCTTTGAACTCAATCATTTGTTGTTTATACTTAAAAAGACCCTTGAGTGAGATTAATTGCTTAGTTCGTGTATTTAATAGTTTTCATAATATTTACAATTTTCTTATAGCAAATGAATAAGTGTCACAAAAATATTGTTATCATCACCATCATCATTATCATAGTTATAATTCCAATTTTCATTATCATCTTTATTATCAATATCATCTTCATCATCATCATCACAATCATCACCAACATCCATATCATCATCATTATGATCACTTCGATTATCACTATCAACTTTATCATCAGTATCATCAATATCACCTTTTGTCCTCAACCCTTCGCCTTGCCTGAAATTTCCGTTGCTTCTGCACAATGATGCAACTAAGCACGTCATCGATGCAAACATTTAGTTCCTTGCTTCTTCACTCGGAGAACCATATTAATACTTTCCAAACTAGTGAAAATACACAAGAATTAAAATCATATAACTGACCGTAGTTGTGTAGCTGGAGAAGGGGGAGGGGGAGCCCATGTGCCCCTTCCCCTCTTATGATTTGTAAGTCAACATGATATTTGATGCTAAAAGGTTCATACTGTGTTGTGTAAGTCAATGGCAAAACTCAAAGATACACTATTAAGCTTCACGAGTCGTCAAAAAAGTATGCGTTAAAGATCTGTCTGTGTATTTTTCCACCACAGTTATTCGTCCTCCTCCCTTCCTTCCTAAAACACTAAATCCCTGACTCGTTGTACTATTTTCTGCTCATTCTTCCTGCCTTAATGTATTTTCTTCTATGCATGAGTACCGATTAGTTAGGTGGTCAGTATTACCATTTCTTTTATCATTAAAGAGATAAAAATTACGTAAGTAATGTTAGAATGTATCTTCCATTTGGTAAACTATTCAAAAACCGAATGATTACAATAGTTACCCTTACCACTTCTCCGTTTTCTCTCATAACTTAAATTTAGGAAAATTAATAACATGGGGTAACAACAGCAGGAATATATGATTATTAAAAATGACAGTTTTGTGTATTTTCATTCTTATAATCATTTTCATTATCGTCACCAGTTCATTATTGTTTTACTTCAGTTGTTATTACTACAACTACTACTATTATTATTATTGATGTTATTGTTATCCTTATCAATAGTGTTATCAATATTGATATCATTCTTATCATTTACTATCTTCATGATTATCACTATTATCAATATCATTAGTATTACTCTTACTGACATTTTTTACTAATACTACTACTATTACAATCATTATAATTATCACAATTATTAAAATAATTACTATCATTATCACCACCATTTTCCTTGACTTCTGTTTCAATTAACATTAATCTTACTAATATCATCAATATAATCACCATCCTCACTTTGATTCACTTTTCCCTCTAATTATCATATTTGATATTATTCCTACAATTTTTACTATAATCATTATCATCATCACTAACATTGTTAAATTTACCAACATCATTATTATGGTTATCATTCTTACCATATTATCATTTTGCTTTTGTTAATCATTGTTATCATTATCAAAACTTTTATTTACAATCATCAAGTATATGTATATGAATAAACAGCATTTTTTGAAGTCTTAAAAAAATCATTGCTTCATTCCACAAATAACAGAATTTGGTTAATAAAATACAAACATCATATTTTTCCTTTATAATATTTTCTATAAAGTACTATATAAACTTAAAAATATAAGACATTGCCAAAAATTCTGCAATGAAATTTCAGTGGTGCAAAAGTGAAAAAGCTTAAATACTCACGAGATACAAGTTTCTTAACACATACTAAATCTAACAGTTTGTTTTACAAATACTGCTAGTAATAATACACTGTTAAAGAAAATACTGTTTGGCTGTATTGTTATGGTAAGCATGTACTGACAGTAAATCATATGCTGACACACCTCTAGGGGGCCTTTTGGGGATCCTAATGTTGCTGAGATTAATATACAGTGGTAAATAAAATTTTGTTAAATTGTAAAAAAATTGGAGAAAGTCAAACTACTTTTCCTGGCAGTTTTTTGAGCTTCTGTTTATAATGTTCAAATAACAACTGCCTGTTTATAGCTTTTCCTTTCAGGCTCCTTGTAATGTAGTCGCAAATTTTTATGTGTACTGTCCTCAACTGAGCTTTTTACACATGCATTAAGTCTAACACTCTCTGACAGCAGAAGCCAAGTCAGAAACACCAATATGAATATCACAAAACTTTTGCTACTTCAAATTTCAGCTAATATAATTTTTCACAAAAAGCATCAATTTCATTTTGTATACCATCAGTACATGCAACTCTGACCTATTCCATTACAATATTTAGTCATACTAACACATGAAGAAAAAATAATGACACAAAAGAAAATATAGCAGGTACTTTATCAGCATTACAGCACACACAGATGATGCAATTAATTACAAAATTAAATGGACAAAATAAATCTGTTATGCATAGCTACAATTTTGTGGATAATTACAAAAATAACATAAATGAACATATTGTTCTACAGTTTAGTTTCCAAGTGCAAAATCTAATTGTAAGATGTCTATAACAAAATGTAATAGCTATATATTCTAAATATTCACAATAAATTTGTGACATTAAAATATTTCAGATATTCTAAAAGATGAGAAATAAGAATAATCTGTTATGCCTTATATCAAATAATCTTATTTTTTTGTGTGTGTGTTTGGGGGAAGGGTTTCATACTAACATCAACTCTTGTACATCAAAGATACCTAAAAGAAATCAATCAAATATATTTCATATTTTATTTTTTCTCTATTCAAGTTCCCCATAATCAATGACTTGATATAAATAGAAAAAGAGGCACTTGACATTTTCTATACTTTTATAACATGCCAAAAGAAAACAATGCTATTGCTCATTTAAACAAAATTTCTGGAATCAACTCGCATGCTAATATTTCTACAAGATATTTTAAAATATCTTACCAAAAATATATAACAATCTTTGATAACTTTTGCATAGAATTGAGCAAATCTGGATATATAGTGTTGTTTTATGGAAAAATCTGATACAAAAATACAAAAAAGGATATGTAACAGACTATAAGGAAAACTAGCTAATTTCGATCTTCTATAAATTCCACATCTTCACATAAAAAATAGTATTCACTATCAGGTATATCATACAGATTAAACCATAACATTTTATATATGTAGTGTGAGAGAGAAAATATGTCTCATGTTCAAATTAAAATAAAAGTTGGAGAAGAGCTAGATTCGTGTAATTCTCTCTTTTCTGTGCTTATGATGACTATGACTATTCATTACTATACTCTTTCATGAAAAAATCAAGTTCACAGAAACTTCTTCAAGGAAGAGAAAAATGCAAAAAGTGACCACATTTTCCCCATCCTATGACTTCAGGTCAGTTCTGGGTCTCCTGAACAGCAAGATGTGTGGTTCTGTTGAAAGAAAAAGAAGTCATTTACACATTATTTACATACAGACTAAACATGTGTTGGCTGGTTGTGTGAAAGCTGCAATTTTAAACTGATTCAGTTTAACACAGGTACAAGTACCGTTCACCATATTTCTTTTTTGTGAATTTTGTTGCACACAGCTGGCTCTGTGAGTACTTAGATACCAAAGAATGAATATGTAAGCCATATAAGATCTCCCCTGATTCCCCTTCAATCTTTGGATTTTTTCTAATGATACTTGTATTGATACTGCAATTAATATCAATATCATTATGATTATTACAATGTTATTAAAATATTCATAGCAAAAAAAATCTAAAGAATCTTTCCAAACATCAAGGAAAAGGGTAAACAGGTGAGAAGGTATGACTAAGAACTGACTCCTGGATGAATAAGCACTTGTGGTGCCATATATGTGTATAAACAATCAATAAATTAAAGTCACAATGGACAAGGCATGTATATCATGCCATCCCAGTAAATTAGATTAATTCAAATAATACTTATTTTTATCCTACTCCTGAACTCTTCATTCCTCCTCTTTATAGTTCTCATAACCATCCAAATAAATAATGAAATAATAATGGTAAATAAACTGACATGACTAAATAAAATCAATCAGTTGTGAAAGTTGCCTCTGTCTTACCTGGGCTGTGTACAAGATAGTGGATCCAGCCAGGTGACTGCTGGACACCAAGGTTGCGCCATTCTGTTTCCGTCATGAGGTGCGTCTTTGGCACCAGTTTTGCCAGATCACTTGGGAGTATTACATGTCTGAAAGATAAGGAGAGAATTAAGCATGATGTGAATTCTTTGAAACCATTCTCCCTGTTTACACTGGCATAAAAATGGCAAAATAATTATGACTATAATCATTAGTTAAAGAAGTTAAACTATTTTATGTTCTAGTCCTATTTCATTGCAGAATTTCACAACCTATCAATTTTTTTTATATATGATAAGAATAAGTGTCAGCTACAATACATATATATTCATGAAAACTTCATAACATTATAGACTAGTGGTACTATATATCTGCAAATCTAACAAAAAGGCTGGAATACCACTGGCTCTACATAACTAAGTTGCAAAGGTTGCATCACTAAAGAAAAAGTCCAAAGACTACAAGGAATTATTACTTAGCACTGCTTATGACATCCTAAACCAACAATTTTGTTATAAGAAATAATATCCAGCAGAGTATTGACAAATGGCAGGGCTATTTTTATCCCAATTATGACAGGGTCTCCTGCTGCCATACCAAGCCTCATGCCCAGCAGTGATTGATTAAAAAATGAAACTTTATGGTTAATCTTTCCAGTATGGATGTGTGGCGGATGCCACAATCACATTGGCACCAGCACTACCTTGCTCTGCATAATTACCGCACTCAACATTGGCACAGCCTCGCCCAGCGTAATTGCCTCTACACCAAGGCAGCCGACAGGCAAGCATGCCGAGGTCCGTGGAGCTGATTCACCGCGACGGGAGAGATAAGGATGCAGCCGTCAGCCAATCAGTGCACTCAGCCGCAGACGACCTAGCAATGTTACTTTGCCCCTTTTGTTTATATACCGCATTTTTTGCCGAAAATAGTCTTCTCAGCAACTTGAGTTTAATTCTCCTGTCTGCTCAGGGCCTAGGGCTCTCAATCACCTCACCCTAGGCCTCGCTACAGGTGCACTAAGCTAGGGCATATTGTAGATGATATTCTTGTAGAGGACAAAAGGATGCAGTCATTGGTACAAGAAATAATTTGCAGACACAAATGGTAACACCACATATAGAGGAAAAAGATCATGGAAAGCACTGCCCACAGCTTAAGTCCAATAGGTGTTCCTGAGTTTCAGCTCTATCTTACCATGAATATCAAGATAAAGACAATGTTTCCCAAGGGGATGTTAGGGGACAGATCCATAGGCAGTGCCCAACTGTCATAACCAGCCACAGCAACTTATTGTTGACTATTTTATGACACAGAGTTGGGGACTTGTTCTTTGGTGAGTGTGTCTTGTACTGTAAAGATTTACCAACTTTATAGTTGACCCACTCTTTATACTCCTGATCGTGTATGACAAGACATCATCCCAACAAGAGTAATATGACACAATAAGACATCATTTGTCATGAGTTTGTTAGCATAGACCAATGTCAAAACAGAAATGAAAAATAATAAGTGCATCAATCTTGAGAAATACACGCTATTATATACAAAAATAAAACTGATTAGAGAAATGTTTATGTGATACCCAAACACCTATCAGTATAGTCTTCATGCCTGTCAGACCTCCACTATATCCCTTTTATGATGGGCCTCAAATTTTGTGTGATGTAATCAGTACACAACAGAAAAAACTTTCTAGCTGCATTTGTGCTGATAACAGCACTTACTTGGTAGAACAAAGTATGGTGCCTTATGACGTAATACCCAAATACGTAAAGAACTGTTAAATAGGAGTATTCTGTTAATATAGTGCTTATACACTTCCCTAGCATTTCATTGTTGAGTAAAGATCTACTGCCTACACACTTTCTCATGCCTAAATACCAATGTACAATTTCAATTTCCTTTGCTGAAGAGCAAATCACAGAGGTGCCTTAGTAATCGCTTTATCTCATTCTCATACTGAACTCTGTCCCAGGCTCGAATGAAAAAACAGAGGTTGAGGAACATGTACATTAACAAGAACGAGGGCGTCCATGCTGTAAAGAATTACCCAAGATACTTTCCTGGTAAGAGACTAAAAAGGGGCTTATCTTCTCATTGAGCTCAGTTTGAGCTAGACAAGCAAATAACCATTTAGTAAACTAGACCATGCATAGTGTAAATACCTGTCACCTAGCATTTGGCCCAGCTCACCCAGACTGTAGATTATATATCTTGTGCGGGGAATATTACATTTTTTTATGCACTGAAAACATCCTTTTGTCTATATTTACGTGGACAGATCTGCGGACAGATGATAAAACAAGTGCACAGAAAGGTCAAAAGAATTTTAGGCGAGGAAGATTATTTAAAAAAGAACTAAGCGTGCACGAAAAATTACCTGAGAACTACATAGAATTTGACCAAATAATTTTTGCACCAAACTCTACAGTCTGGCAGCTCACCACAATGTGATTGCATGTCAAGTGGATTTAGAGAGAACACAACCAATAAATTCACAAGAAACAGGCATATATTAAAATACATTGAAGGAATCTTCTAAACATTTACCCACGAAAGCAAAACAAGTGATCAAACAAATGTCTAATTGCAAGAGGATTATTCCTTTTGAAAGGCCTACTATTTTACATTACAATAACATATATCTTAGACCACTAATCTAACAATAACTAATGAAGAGGGCTCATAGTGCAAAAAGAACTGGCAATGCGTAGTCTACTGTAATTACAAAGTTTATTTTTTTGAATAAGGAGGCATCCATAAAATACAAGCATACATATAACATAATACAAGCGAAAATAAAATCTATTTTACTGTAAACAGTGGTAAATCAATAAATAGCAAAGAAATTAGCCGGTTCGTAGAGAATAATAGCTGTTTCAAATAAATTCAGACTGAATACAATAGGAGAACGGAAGTGAAAAAATGGTTACATCCAAGCGCGCGTTTTTTTAAATCTAAATTAAACATCTTACATAGCAATGACACGTTTATCCATGATCTACAAACTTACCTGTACTCGTATTTATCATCGTTGTACTTCTCAGAGTACTGAATCTGGTCGGTTTTCATGATTTCTGCGAAAGAGATTCCTTCAGTGTAGAGATTGAACTTGAATTTAAACGTACACAAACAACAACAGGAAACGGGCTTATTTACATCCGATGTCAGATGGTGTTTTAATGGCTTTATCTTATTGCAATTTATTAGAAAATCTCTTTTGTTTTTTTCTAGAGTATCTTGGGTGTTTCGTATGGACACAAAAGTAAGTATAATTCATTTATGTATGAGTAGGTTTGAGGCGTCCGGCATTTTGAAAATGAACGTCGCTTTGCGCAAAATGTTTTAATACTTATCTCTCTCATTGTCCATCTTTATTATGTTTTCCCTTCATATTCTCAAGTATATTCTATCTATTTAAAACTAACTTCATAAATATATACATACAAACATTTTCCACGAGTTATGATAAATTGGATTACGCACGTTTCAATGTGTAATTGCAATGATTACGTAACTGGTAGCAAACGGAGTCGCTACCGAAAAAAAAAACTGTAACAACGAAAAAAGGGGTGTTGCAGAAAAAAATGAATTAGGGACACAATCAACGAAATGACAAAGCGAAAAGACTTTTTGCAGCCTACATCGTAACAAAAATCCTTACGGCCTAATACTAAATTTCAAAGTTCAAGTAAAAAGTTTTTATATATTGCTCTAGGCGTGCAATAGACACAACGCAGTCAGCTCCAGCAAGGCAAAAAAGTCTTTCGCGTTCCATCCTCATTTTCGGTTAATAAATAGTTGGCCATTAACAAAATGAATAGGATATCACTAGATCACACCTAATAAGTCATTCACAATAAAAGGATATTCAAACTAGCCAACAAGAAAAATACAAGGAAGTATGAGACCTCTTTTCCATTCGGAAACTCATATTCTATTCATCATAAAGTAAAGTATAGTACATGAAATCCATTAAAGCGTACTTCATACACTACGAACAGTGATCGTTCTATTAAGAATACATATACATCTAATAGTCTTTTTTTAGAAACGCTATTGGTATTGAATTAAAAGCTACTGTAATAATTATTTTATTATTATATTTTTTATGAAATGATGAACTAGTATAAATCTCATAATGAGTATAGTATTCCAATAATTTATCCTAAAAGAACAATATACTCAAATATGCGAAGACTAATAAAGCACAACAAGTAACGCGGTCTTTGTTTACCAACTTGGTGTGTGGTGTTAGAATTACTTTTATTTTCTCATTTTTAAAGAGTGACAGAGTAAGTCCATTACCCATTACAGTGTAAGAAGGTATAATTAACCGAAATTATTGCACATAAATGGAAATTTAAAGTCGTAACTTGCAGAAATTAAAGTAAATAATGTTTGTATTTTTAGCATTCCTGAGGCATACCTTCGAATATTTACGAATTGAAGAAGAGTCAAATTTGCATGAAGTAAATGTATTGCTATGTTGTTTTATTGAGTTTGTTCAGAAAGTGTGATGCTTAGATAATGGACAGAAATTGATACCCTGGATTTGTTTTTTTTAAATGTTTCCGAGTGACTACAGTACTTGGGTATTTTTCCTTATTTAAGAACTTTCATTATTATGCTTATACGGAACGTGATCATTTTAACAACGATTTTGGAGACATGTTATGAGGTAGAATTTTAGGTAGAAATTGATCTATCACAAGAAGTTTGTGACATTGTTATAAAACATCATTTATCAGAACACATTTTATTTGTTGATTGGTAGACCTGTTTCCAAATTATTTTTGGTTTTGTATAAAAGAATTCCTTTTCTTTTTTCTAATATATTAATTTAATTTTTTTCCCAGAAGGCTTTACAAAAGCAGAAAATGATCTATTTGCATGTCAGACTTTATTTTGAAATTTTTTGCTTCATTTCTGTTTTGTTCTTTCTATAGAAAGAATAGAGAAAATTATCAAGGAAAAGACTCTATTTGACCATATTTTTCTAAGTTAAATTTAGGTATCATGTACTTTTGAAGAATTAAAGGCCTAAGTAAGGGTTGGGAAGTGTAGGCCAGAGAAGAATTTTCAAATGTTAATAACGACCATGAAAATAATTGTGTTTTTGATGATGATGATGCTGATTATGTTATTAGTATTTATATTATTGACGGAGACAACAGTAATAACAAACATTAGAGTACACTCATAGTAATGACATATAATTTTGATTCCAGATTTAGAGCCTAATTTACAGCCGCGATGGTCTTTTATCTCATTGGTCTTGGACTGGGTGACCCCAGTGATGTGACAGTGCGAGGCTTGGAAGTCATCAAGAAGTGTGCACGAGTCTACCTTGAGGCCTATACCTCCATCATCAGCGGAGGAAAGGAGGGGCTGGTAAGTAAAGACTATGTGAATCTATTTTCTGTAGACTTATAGATGTGGCTTTGTTAGAGAGAATGTTAAATTAACTTTTTTCCTTTTTCTTTTAGTTAAAGATTTTTTTTTTTTTCTATCTTTTTAAGATAGAATTTTCGACTAATATTTTTAGAAATACATGAAAATTTGGGGGGAAAAAATCTCCTGTAATCTAGTAGGCTTTGGCAATCCCATGAGATAATATTTCTACTAAATACATGAAAATAAAGGAGTTTTGACTAAATCTCTGATCCCCCCTGCCTCTGGCTCCGATGTTTACTTTGTCGCAAATATACTCGACTATTATTATATTATTTTTTTTTTTTTTTTTTTTTTTTTTTTTTTTGGATTTTTAAAATTTACTTTGGTATTCTGTGGTAGCTAGCTGGCAATTCTACTTCCTGAATCAGCTGATAGCCATGACTAAGAAACAAGGCGGGCAGTCACCTCGAGAGAGCTGGTGCCTCTGTGCAACACCATCCCTGTGTTGCCTTCATCACACACTCACACTCAGAGGACACTAATAATGATAGATGTTATTCCTGTAACAAATGAATATTGTATGATGAGAAATACATCTCAGTCACAGCTGCAGCAGTTGTTTATTCGTATGAAATGCCTCAGGAGGTACTGTAAAGGCACTGCGAAGACTGTGATGACACGCGGTGCTTCTACAATCATCTGCTGTTATTACTATTGCAAAAGGGAGGGACCAGGTACCAGCTACACTTCAGAATACCATGTGAAAGCCATAGAATGCATCAAGATTGATGTACAGATCAGAGTTATAAGAAAAAATAGAAAGAAAATGGAGGAAAAAGTATCCTCAACTTCAAAGCCTGATATCTCAAACTTACACCTTTGTCCACATTTTTTGTCACTCCGTAACTACTTGGGCGATTCTGATAGGGTTTGGATCATTTGAAAGCTGAATAAATGTACGATTGTCTCAATGATTCAATTTTCATTTCTGGTAATAGAAGTCCATATATCATATTTTATATTTTTAACAATGCACCTAAAAAAAAAAAAGCTCTAAACTAAGAGGAAATTTCAAAATCTGATCATTATTAATTTAGGTATTCCTATTGAGTATATGTGATATTTTTTTCAGAAAGTTCAGTCAATGGATAAGTGAGGTACATAATTTTTTTTTCTCTCTCTCTTTTTTTTTTTTTTTTTTTTTTTTTTTCAAAATCTTGTTTTTGTAATATCTTCATTGTTTATTATCCAAATGATATGAAACTTGGTGGTGTAAATTGTAGTGTATGTATATATAACATGAAAAAATCGTGAAAATCCGATCATAATTAACATACTTCGTTCTCGAGTGCGACAGCCCCCTTAAGCAAAGTAAGGTGGTTAATGATTTTACTTCTTTGTCCTATGATATCAAATTAGGACCATTTTAAACTTGTGCATAGGCTACATTTTGAAATTATATGGAGATAAACATTATAATGTTCTTGTGTTATTAATCACAAAATTAAGCCTTACAGTTGCTCATTGCAGAGAAACTTGCCACCATCTCAATAAACAATTTGTCTTTTTTATTTTCCAGGAGAATTCTACATGGCGAGAAGGATCCCCCCCTCCCCCACCGACTGTGCAATAACTAGCTAATCCACACAACACTCCTCGCATCGATTGTTTGCAAGTGCCAGAGGATATACGGCGGGTTTCAAAGCAATAGACAAGTTGATCCCACAGAACACTTCGATGTGGGCTAGACGACAATAGCTTGATGCATAGTTAAGTGTGCGAGTCTACCCCTTGTGCGTGGTTGGTGGGTGATTCCTCTGGATTTAGCCTGAGCAAGTTTACCTGCCCTCTTTATCGTTCTTTTCTATCTGCTTACTCTGACCTTTGCTCCTGAATAGTTTACCGTATTGTCACCACCTCATCAATAAAGTGTTCTATAAATACTTTCCTACATTTAGTTTTCTCCGATCTTCCTTTCTTCCTCCTTTTTCCTGGCGGTAACTTCATATCCCGTTATCCTTGTCCTTCAGAGAGGTGAAAAGAAGATAAAGTAAGATAAAATTGTCTAATGAATATTGTTTGTGTGCGGGGTTGTGTTGCAGCCGTTGCTTGGTGTTTTATGAAGTGAGATAAAAACGATGTTTGGTTTGTGTGTGTATGAGATTCGGTGGAAGATGATGTGAGCTGCGACTCATGACACACGATTTTCACATACATAATGGTGCGCTCATCATGTTATGCTGATCACTAGCCATATTGTATGCTATCAAGATAAATCTTCTATATGCAT